AATTTTTATAATTTTTAATATAAATTAATTATAAAAAAATATATTTATTATACATTTAATCAATTCTTTTAAGATGCATTAGGGCTTTTGGGTTCAAAAACCTCAAGTCACATATAAGTGCATTTTTTATCTCAGCGCAACGATTCGAATTCCATCATTTGCAAATTTATTCAAAAGAAAAATCAATTTTTTTAAAATATACAAATCGGATGTGAAAATAAGTTGAATAAACAATCCCACCATTAGTAAGCGCATGTTGCAATTGGAAAAATCAACGGGTTACAATCCTACCCATTTCTCCGTTATATATTCAATTTTCTCTCTCTCTCAATCAACGATTTCTCGTTTTAATATACGAGCTTTGAATACAGTAGTACTTGTGCATTAGTGCTTGACTCATGTTTTTCCTAATATTGATATCCACGTACAATTGAGACGGTACCAGTTCGCTCATTTGGCTCTAGAGAAGAAACAGGCATTTCTCTTCAAATGACAGGGGGTTTCAGCTGGGAGAGTATACTTGAATTAATATGTATCCAGTTATAACCCCCTGGACTCCGGAGTTGATTCGGCCTTCGCTGGTTTTGCCAGCACTGGTTTCGCCCTCTCAGGTGTTGTTAATATTGCTAAGCCTTAGACTCACCTTCAAAGAAATGAAAATTGAGGTGTACACATACGATATATATAAAAGTTTGCAATTAACCTTATTTTCCACTCTGTTGTGTGTACATTGCAGCTTTACTCTCCGGCTACTCGACTGCAAAATATGGATATTTAGGGTACTTGGTTTTGTTCATCCAAAGGCAAGGAAAGCTCGGCCTCAGAACTTCAGTGATCTTTGCTAATTTCCAAAAAGGATTAGGAGCAGTTTTTCGCGTTTTTTTGGTATACATGGCAAAATTCCGCATGGGTCTCGCCAGAATGACTCTCTACACCTTTGCAACTTTCATCTCTGTAAGTTCTTTTTTCTAGCTGCGTCTTTAATAGCGTGGTATAAAAGCAGGTGTGCCTAAGCCCTTTCACCTCTCTGAGGTTTGTGATATTTGTGTTTCGCTCCCTGAGTGAGGTACAGAGTTCCATTTCACACCTTGTGTTTTTCCTACCCGTTGGCTGCAAAGGTTAAATTGATCATTAATTCTTAATGAAAATGTTTTGATAAATATAAATATATATAATAATTGATTTTTTTTTTTTTACATGATGCTTGTTCAGTTGTCTCGTTTTGATAAATTTTTTTTTATAATTACTTATATATTATAATAAAATATTATTTTAAAATGTGTGAAAAAAAATGTCAAAATCTTTATATATATATACGTTTTGTTTTTTTTTGATAGGCAAAATCTTTATATTTTGAAACAGAGAGAAAGTAAAATATTTTTTGAATAGAAATGTAGATCCCAAATGTGAAACACCCACGGAGAATTGAAATAAGTAGCAAATTACTGATATTAAAGAAATCCGATTATTAATTGATTGTCAATTCTTCAATTTTTTTAAACGGAAAATTGAATTTCAATTCTTATTGTAGGGTTCTCAGCTATTGTGGGTTAGTCCATCCAAGAGGAGCTACCGTCGGCTTTTTCTTGTTGCACAGCTATCAATGCTGGGAGCGGGTTACGCTGGAGAAGGTCCTGCAAGTAATGTTTTCCAGAGTCAGCTTGCAAAAGCCGAGAAAAAGTTACTGAAAAAGCCAGTGAACAATCACCGGTCAACAATAACAAATGATAGAGTTACACCTGATCCGATTAATATTTGCGAAGTGGGAACAGATGGTAGAGTTACAACTTATCCGATTAATATTTGCGAAGAGGGAACCAATGGAACAATAACCAGGCCAGGATGTACATGTTATCGTCCGGATGATTGGTTGGTTGGGTGTATAGGACCAGCTGCAACTGCAAGAGAAAGTTGTGTATGCTCTTTTTGGCGTGAACAATACAATTGGAAACCAGATATGTGTCCGATTCTGAAGGAGGGAGTCCGAGAAGGATTACGCACATGTTGCTATCCGGAGTTAAGCTGTACAGAGACGGAGAATAGCCGCAGGAACTCATCAGAAAACAATCCCGACCAAAAGTCGGAGACGAACCCTCCAAAGGAGAATGAGATGGATACTGTGCCAATACAGCCACAGCAGGAAAATACAAGAAAAATGAGGAATCGTATAAGAAAAAAGTTATTTGCTGCTAAACTTCCAGGGACAATATTGGGTACAGTGCTTGCAGCAGTGTTTTCTACCGAAGTTTGCATCAAGATTTCAACAGCAGTGACGATTATTTGTTATAATTTGTTCTTCTGGATGGGTGCTCAATGTTACGACCTTGGTGAAATGGAGAATTATGCTATAACGGGTGAAAACAAATATGGTGAAATGGAGAAACGTGATAAAAAGGATGAAGAGAAAATTGATGGAAAGGATGAAAAGCAAAATCTGCTGGATGCTTTAGTTCCAGAGTTAAAGAAAGCAGTAGAAGCGGTTCGAAAACTATTACCTTTATGGCTAACATTCGCATCTACATGTTATCTGGTTAATGCAACAGCTGATTCTTTATTCATGGAACAAGTTGATTATCTAGAGAACAACACCGAAGGCTTCAAGATTCCTAAATCCGTTTTCTATTCCTTTCCGGATGTTGTCTCCATCATAACCGGGCAGGTGAGCTATTATCTAGTCGAGCAGTTCTATGATGAAAAGAAAGAAGCGCGCTGAGCTAGGCTCCTCAGAATCAGCATTGGTATGCTTTTTTCCTCTTTGTGTTTTTTGGTAAAGTGTAAATTTTATTATCAAAACTTCTACCATACACAAAGCAGCTCTTTATAATACAGGCTGCTACCAATATTCACCTACAAAGAATGAATTAGCTATACAAAAATG